CCACCTAGAATGCCGTGGGTTGAATCTCTTTGCAGATTGGATATAAGCCAGGTTCTTGTTGTCTGTCCAAACCAGTACTGGATGCTCAGCCCCCTCGAGCCAGTGTCTCCATTCCTCCAGGGCGAGCTTAATGGCAAGAAGTTCTCGGTCTCCAACAGCATAATTTTGTTCGGCTGGGGATAATCTGCGTGAAAAGAATGCACATGGGTGAGTTTTCTGGTCAGAATCTGACTGCTGAGATAGAACAGCTCCTACGCCGGAATCAGATGCATCCACCTCTAGGATGAACTGTTTTATAGGATCAGGTTGAATCAAGATGGGGGCACTGGAAAAGAGTTTCTTTAATTTATTAAAGGCATTTTCGGCCTCAGGGGTCGATTGGAATGTTCTCTTAACAGAGGTAAGAGCTGTGAGAGGTAGAGCTGTCTGGCTATAGTTTCTTATGAACCTCCTGTAAAAGTTTGCAAAACCAAGAAATCTCTGAAGTTGCTTGCGGTTTTCAGGTGTAGGCCAATCCAGAACTGCCTTTATCTTGTCTTCTGATGGCTTCACCTGCCCGCCCTCGAGCACAAACCCTAGGAAAGTGACAGATTGTTGATGAAATTCACATTTCTCAGCTTTCACAAAAAGTTTATTTTCCAGAAGTCTCTGAAGGACTAAACGAACATGTTTCCTGTGGTCTGAGAGGTTCTTGGAGTAGATCAAAATATCATTGATGTAGACAAAAACAAAAACATTCAAAAAATCTCTGAGGACGTCATTGACAACAGCTTGGAAACAGGCAGGAGCGTTTGTGAGGCCAAAAGGCATGACCAGGTACTCAAATTGCCCTAAAGGGGTCTTAAAGGCCGTTTTCCATTCATCCCCTTCTCTTATTCTAAGGAGGTGGTAGGCGTTTCTTAGATCGAGTTTGGTGAACACTGTAGCACCTTGTACAGGTTCAAACGCTGATGCCAGTAATGGTAGGGGATATTTATTTTTGACGGTAATCTGATTCAAACCTCTGTAGTCTATACAGGGGCGCAGGGAACCATCCTTTTTACCCACAAAGAAAAAACCAGCACCGAGAGGAGATGAAGATGGGCGAATTATTCCAGCAGCTAGAGATTCGTTGATGTATTTTTCCATGGTTTCACGCTCTGGTTTGGAAATATTATACAATCTACTGCTGGGAAGAGGGGCTCCTGGTAATAAATCTATGGCGCAGTCATATGGTCTGTGAGGTGGAAGGGACGTCGCACTGACCTTACTGAAGACTGGTGCCGGATCATGATACTCGGGAGGAACAGAAGTAAGGTAAGGAGAGTCCATCTCCCCCCTACCTCTAGGGGACTGAATATTAGGAGCCGCAGAACGAAGACAGGATTCGTGACAGGAGGTGGACCAGGATTCAATGTGGCGTTCAGCCCAGTTGATATGGGGGTTATGACGTTCCAACCACTCGAATCCAAGCACCAGGGGAGAGCAAGCTGAAGGAAAAACAAAAAATGTTGGCCTCTCCCGGTGGTTTCCAGAGATAAGCAGTTCCAAGGGTTATGTCTGATGAGTGACTTGATGAAGCTTCTTTCCATCGATAGCAGAAACTCTGAGAGGTTTAGTTAAAGGAACAGTTTCAATCTTTAACTGCTGGACCAGTTCTGAATCAATAAGGTTTCTTTCACAGCCAGAGTCGATGAATGCTGACAAGGTGAGATTCTGGTTAGAAAAGAACAGAGTAGCGGGCAACAAGAAATGAGGAGTTTTTTCATATCTTAGGTGGACCGTCAGACTCCTCACATCCTCTGACGGGCCCTGGCTTTTGATTTAGCCGGACAAGAAGCAATAAAATGGCCAGTCTCACCACAATACAGACACAGTTTAGCTTTGAATCTTCATTGCCTCTCTTCAGGGGATAGCCTGGTGTGTCCAATTTGCATGGGTTCGGCCTCCGCTCCTTCTGAAGAAGAAAAATGAGAGATTTGGACAGGCGCTGGGAGAGTCTGATTCTTAGACCTTGGCTTGGTACTGGGTTCTGGGGAACCAGAAAAAGTTGAAACAGAGAAATTCAGGTTTCTCTGCCTTGAGTGATCTCTAGTCCGAAGTCTCTTATCCAACCTGATGGTCAAACGGATTAAATCCTCCAAACTAGCAGGTTCGTCTAATGTGGCGAGTTCATCTTTAATGTTGTCTTTCAGAGCCTTAAAGTAAGCACTCTTAAGTGCACACTCGTTCCAACCTGAGGCTGCAGCTTTAACCCGGAAGTCAATGGAAAACTCAGCTACTGTCGAATTTCCCTGTTTTTAATTTATCAGGGCTCGGGAATCAATTGTTTTATCAGAGTCATTGTTGAAAACTTGAGAAAACTCAGATATGAATTCTGAAAAGGTACATGAAAAACTGGACTCAGAAGAGAACCTTGCCTCCACCCATTCAAGGGCTCGTCCAGTAAGCTGAGAGAGAATGAAGGAAATCTTTTTTCTATCATTTGGAAAACTGCCAGGTGAGTGCTTAAAAAGCAAACAACACTGAAACAAAAATCCTTTACACTCCTTTTGATTACCTGAAAATCTTTCAGGAGGACTCGGACCGAACTCAGGAAATGACGTCACGGACGGTGACCTTAGTGGCGGAAGTGGTTCCGGAACAGGAAGGACTGCAGGCGTAGCATTAGCATTTCCCATGTAGCCAGCAAAGTTCTGCAAGACTTGGTTCTGATATTCAAGTTTATTGTGTAACTCACGGAGGGTGTGCGCATGACCTAGGATTTGAGCGTCCTGCTCCTCAAGCCTCCTCCGGAGGTGATCTGCTGGGCTTTGTGTTTGGCCGCAGTGTTCTGTCATGATTGGTTTAGGAATCAAACCCACATGCAGAACACCACTTGGAGACTGAATAAAAAGTTCAACAGAGTTTATTAAAGGTTTGCACAAGTAAACATGAACTGGATTCAGGAAACAGGTCAGGGCAGGATTCTCAGGCGTCTGCAGAGACGGATAGTTTGATTAGCCAGGTTAACTGATGAGTTGTTGAGTTTTCTGATATTTCTGAAAATACCTTGACAAGGTTCAGGCTTTCTTCTCTGAGAGAGGGAACCGGTTGGGTCCAGAGACTGTTGGTTCAGCAGAGTGCTCAGCAGCAGCAGCGTCTAGCTTCTGACTGTTTAGTGTCAGACCTTGGTTTGAGTGATAAGCTCTTTCCCTGAGAGCAGCAGGTGGATTCCAGAGGGAGATCTTCAGGTTTGGCTCTCCAGGGCAGACAGGCAGGTAACAGGCTAAGCTCTTCCAGAGCTTCACACGAGAGACAGGTTTCCTAGGAGCGAGAAGACAGAGTCAGGTTAGAATTGGGTTTCTCTTTAGAGACAAAGGTTCTAGTAGTAACAGAGGCTCAGGTTCGCTAACCAAACTTGGTCAACACTGCAGCGTTGAAGGAAGGTCTGGCAGCTGCTTAAATAGGCAGGTCTCCTGATGGGCTGATGAACGTCAGCTGTGCTAGAGTGCTCCAGCCCAGCAGATCCACAGCACACTCTGCTGGAGAAGGTGGAGAATCTTCAGATCCCAACAGGCTTTATGTGAAAGACCAGTACAAAATAGGCATTATAGAAATGTATAAGTAAATTATGTATGGCTTAAAAAAAAAAATTCAAATTTAGCTGTTGATATCTGTAAATGTTACATGCACTGGCATTAAGCCCCTGCATAAAGTGCTGAAAATGTTCCCCATTCTTTTTTGTAAGATGTCTCGTGTCGTGATGGGTCTAATACTTCTTGCCCACATGCAGAAACAACAACAGAGAGATCATAGAAGTAGAGCGTTTATTTTTTCACTTAAACAAAAAACAGAAACCGTGTTATCCCAGCTTGGTGGGTCCTGCGCCAGGAATCCAGGTGCGACTGCACATAAGGAGATAGTGATAAGGTGAGTTCACAGTTGGTGGGACAAAATGCAGAAGACTGATGCACTGTTCTTACTTGAACTAGCTGCCTGAGTTGGAGGGTGGTCAGAGGTTCCAGTTTGTGGAGGCCTTGGCTGGTGGAAGGTGGATGAGTCGTTGGAGGGCGGACCGGTAAGTTTAAGGTGGCACAGAGGAGCAGCAGAGCAGACTGTCAACTCAGAATCCAGAAGAGGTTGGAGCTCAAATGAGGTGAGTTGTGGAAATCTCAGCGTCTTCCAGGGCTGGAAGGACTTGAAAAATCCCAGAGGATGTGAAGGTTCTCTGCCAAAGTATCAATTCACTAGTAAAGGTACAGAGATTGACTGAGCAAAAGCTCAGAGGGGCTAGAGTACCCCAAACAGGCAAACACTCTGGCGAAGAGGTGATGACAGTCAGCTGCTCATATACTCCTCTGAGGTGATGAGAGATATGTTGCAGGTGAGGGTAATTGAGACCTGTAGGCAAGCCCTCCAATACAGAAGTAACAAGAAGGCACCATCTGGTGGACTAACGGTGGAACTGAAAAAAGAAAACAAACTAACCCCACAAACTGGAACCACAACATCTCGAGCTCAAGCAGACTAGATCAAGATCATGTAAAGATCAAATTTCAAGTCATGCTTAAAAATGTGCACTGTATTTTAAATGGATCTGAGCTTTAAATAGGTAATTTTTGCACTCAACTTTGCTTTGTTCAATAGTCACCCAACCTGTACTGCTGCTATCTTTTTTACTTCTATCAGGCTTTTTCAAGTATTACCATGTATTTACAACTAAACATTTTACCCTTAACTGTTGTTTTTCTTCCACACATACCTGTATGCAATGGGCTTTATTTAAATTTTTCAGATTAATTGGAGTAGAATACAAACGTATCACACATATTTTGCCTTTAGTTTCACAGGTAAATGTTGGGCTTTCACCTAACAACCCCATCAAAATACCTTGAATTTGGGGGTTTTGATTTGAGAAAATGCGATCAAAATATATCTCTTAAGGCACTTTAACGTTTATAAATGTGTCATATATGGTAATTGTTAAGGCCCAATCAGTCTAATTTAATCATTATGTTCCTTTGGTTTTTCCTTCACAGAGAGCATCAGGAAGATAATCGATAAATCATCCATTAAGTTAATTTGCAGCATTAAGCTTGACACCAAAAATGGCAAAACAGAGGATAGGATTCTGGTAAGTTGCTTTTTTGATTTACGTCTCTGTGCTAACTTAATTAGTTTTTTTTAGTTTTTTTTTATTTGATTTTCTTTTGGTGTCTGAAGTTGTGGAGCAATACCCCACTACATATATATCATGCATGTTCAATGTATTTTTCTTTTTTTTTTTTTTTTAACAGTGTCCTTTCTGGCAATGTGGCAATAAGAATAATTGTCTTGATGCCAAAAAGAGCCCAACAGATTTTACTTTCACAAGTGTAGCGGAATGGCAATTGCCATACTGCTCCACTTGTTTCATG